ATCATTATAAATAATTATTTTTTGGCAAGAAATACAAAATAAATGGTTATACATCTTTACAAATTCAAGCGATAGTTTCTACCTTAATACAAACTTCAAAAATTAACAGTACAAACACATTAACAATTACACATTAAACCATATTTATATAACTTTATAAACATATCAAAAAAATGTAATGATTGATTTTTTTGCTTGAAAAACGCTAATACTTTGAGATTGAAGCAAAGATCATAATAACATAATTTAATTCTGATAAAAAATATTTGATTTAATTTAAAACTAATTTAATAAAAAATCACATTTAATAAACTATATATACAGTTATATTATTTTAATAAATGATGTTTGGAAAAATAATCTTTGCTTTCACAAAAAAAATCTTTAGTAAATTAATAAATTTTTTATATATATATATATATATATATATATATATATATATATATATATATATATATATATATATATATATATAAATAAAAAATCATTTGTAGTTGCAAAGCCCCAATTAGAAATTTAAGAAATAATCATTTAAAAATTTAACATATTTTAATTCATTTATGCAAATGCTGAGAAAAGAAAGAAATTTGATAATATAAAACATTTTTTTAAATGTAATATTGAATTTAATTATTTAATTAAAAAAAAAAGAAAAGAAACATTCCCTTATGGTAATAATAAAAATGAAGTTAAATAACATTTAACTTGTTTTGCAGTATTTAATATTTTTGCAGCAATTTAAAAGTTGTATATATATATATATATATATATATATATATATATATATATATATATATATATATATATATATATATATATATATGCAGTATGATAAATAATATGTTTAGGACAAAATTGTAAAATATATATATATATATATGCAGTATGATAAATAATATGTTTAGGACAAAATTGTAAAATATATATATATATATATATATATATATATATATATATATATATATATATATATATATATATATATATATATATATATATATATATATATATATATATATATATATATTAGGGTAGGTCGATTTTAATTCCGCATATTGCGTAATATTGCAGTAGTTGTAGACAGTTAAAATACGATTACTCTCAAAATTTGAGAGATTTTGGATAAAGAATCGCTTGCGGATTTAATTTTAAAGATTTGTTGGATTATGTAAAAAAACACCTTAAAAAGCGTTATATGCAAAACTTGACGTTTTAACTAAGTTTATATTTAAATGTTTTTCAATACTATTTGCTTTGCTGTATGATTTAAGTTTATAACAGTTTATAACAATTAAGCTAAATTTATAACAACTTGTTAACTATTTGAAGATTTAAATAGTGAAACTTTTATTCTTATATTTACATAAGAATATCAAAATAAACATTATTTTCACAATTTAAAAATATTTTGGCTATGGATATATATATTTTAGGAAAACATTTTCAATTAAAAAATATCATCATAAGAATGGGAATAATGCCCTTTTGAAATATACGGTTTACGCATCTTCCTGCTAAGTAGTTTAGTTAAAATGCAGCTGTGTCGATTCTCGAATCCATAAACATATTGGGATGCGTCCGACACAAGTTTTACCGCTCGCTCAACACTCTGGGAGTGAGATGGAAAGTCGGGGATTTCAGGTTTAACATTATTGTCAATCGCATATTGGATTTGCTCAATTGAAAAATGTTGTGTTGTTGGGGGCTCCGTAAATTTAGTAATGCTGATATCAACCAACTCATACCAATGATTAGCATTAGAATTAATTTCTGGAATTTTTTTCAAATTTACTTCCAAACTTTCGATGTTTACTCTATAAATATAAATCAAATCCAATTACCACATTTAATGTATCATTTTTTTTCAAAACTTTATTTTAGTTTACTATAAAAAAATACCTTTGCCTTAGACCCAGTAGGATTTGAAAACCTAAGTTTCGTATCTTGCTGTCATTATCTTTTAACATGGCATAAAGAATATTTTCAGGTTTTAGGCACAATGCATTGTTTTTAATGTTTTTTTTTAACAATATATTTAACATCATCAAAGGGGAGATTATTTATTCTAGTGATAGTAGAAAAAATAAAGCGCGGGGATTCGTGAAATTTTGAAGATTTTTTTATATCGAACCACGCTGGAGCGTAAACCTGAACTATAAAACATACGAGTTTTTTTAAAGAAACAGTTGATTGATTGTCTCTAGTATACAAACAGAGAAGGCGAATAGCTATAGTTACCTTGCGTGTAATCACCTTGCGTGGTTAAGCGGTCCAATTTTATAGGCGGCCCATTTATCAGAAACTTTACCAAAAGCCTATTCCTTTGCAATATTCAAATAAAAGTCTTTGATCGCAACTAAGGTCTACTAGTATTTCTTTTGGAATATATCCATCTACAATTGGGTTTTCAATACGAATAAACAAAACTTGATTTTTATCCTGAATATTTTCAGCACATCTTTTGCCAAGTAGACCACTAAAGCTTCTTGGCCCAGTTGTGTCACCATCAAGTTTTACAAAAAGAGCTCGTAACGGAAGTTCATTTTGATGTAATGCGCATTCAATTAGATGTAGTTTTCTTTTTAAAAACTCTTCTAGTTTTACCACTAAGCCACTTATTGGTCCAGTATAGGCAGCAGTATTATCAAGAAGAACAGCTTGTATACTTTCCAAACTGTTATGTTCTTGTAAAACACTAAACGTTTCGGTAGCAAGAACTAAACCTGTAGCACCGGTGACAGGAATCGTCCTATGAGTCAAATAATTTCCACTCGATTTTCCATCTACATAAGTAAATGTGAGGTGATGTTCAAGTTCAATGCATTTCTTTAGTACTTCTCCTTGAGGTAAGTTTATTACTATACTTGTTTTAGTTATTTGATCGAGCTTGCTGTCAACCCCAAGACAAATTAACTGTTTTTTTTGTTCTGAGTCCACCTCTTCACTAACGATTTTTACTTTTGACTGGCCCTATCTAACTTGCATTTGTCAATCAAAATATCTTTAATATCAACGTCATTTTTCAAGAGATGTTTTATGTCATGTAGTAAAGCATTTGCAAGGGCTGCACCTACGTTTGACGAACACTCATTTCTGACTAATTCCATTGCAAATCTTGGAAGTTTAACTAAGTTGTATTTTCCAATAGGATTATTTACTGGTTTCCATTCACCTTCATCCTAAAAAGAGTTAATAAAATAAAACGCTTTCTGTTTCATCTGTTACAAATATTTCATGTATTTATAAAATATTTACCTCCGTATTGGTCAAACCACTTGTTTCTTCAATTAAGTTTACTTGTGCTATGAGGGATTCATCTTCATTAACTAGCTTATGAGATATTTTTTGTCGTTCTTTATCAAGTCTTTGAATCCTTTTGACAGATAATCTATCGACGGAAGAAAGTTGATATGCACCTTTTGGACCAATTTTTTTCCTCTGATCACGAAGATAAGCTCTGTCTTCCAGAGGCACTTTATTACTTTGAGAACAAAGGCATACAATATGTTCTTCGATGCAATTTTATTTATTACATGAAACTTTTCTGTCACTACAGGGAAACACATCTAATGAACAGGAATACGCAGAAATATCAAAAAGTTTGTCCAAGTTTGCATCAAGATTTCTTTTAGCGCTTGCTTTTCCGTGCTTGCGATTAATATCCTTAACAAGTACGAGAAGATCTTTAACTTTCCTATTAATAGATTTGTCAGTTTTAAGAGGTAATCTTGGGTTTACTGTAGCCCAAATTGATTTTATATTATTGCTAATTTGCTGAGTCACTAATAAGATATCTGCATTTGGATTTATATGAATAAGATAGTAATAATACTGAATAACCTGTCTAAAAGTGCTTGGATCTGTCGTTGATAGTTCACATGGGCCACCACAATATTTTTTTTCACTTTTCATCCGTGTAATTGCAACCTTTACTTTCGGCATTTTTGTAAATTAATTATATATGTAAACTGTATTAAAGTATTACACTTAGAGTAATGGGCAACAGCGTGAGTTTTTAGTGGGGGCCTATGCATCAAAAAAACCTAAAATATTAAAACTTACTATTAAAAACCTGCTTTGATAAAAATAAAGAAATAAAACTCTTTTGAAAAGATTTGGGGGCCATGAATTCAGGAAACTCAGGAATTGAGTAAAACCATTAGTTCCATCGAAAAGTTTTATATTTTAATCTACTTCAGAAATTGCAAATCAAAAGTTATGTAATATAAACAGTTTAAAACATTACTCTAGATATAATAACCATAAGTATTTACCTTTGATATTAAAAGATTTCTTTAAACTGCAGTTTTATTTTTGAACCTACTTTTTAATAAATTTAACCTTAAAACTAACTTTAAAATACAAACAAGAAATATAAATACAAAAAAGATTTGCTAAGTTTAAATGCGTGTAAACGATTTAGCGAAACTTTATTGGCTTCTTAAAACAATTGCGCTTGTTTATTGGTTACTTTATATACTCAAAACGAGATATTTTAAAACGAGATTACTAGACTTAAAATAAAATTTTGCAACGTTTGAAATAAACAATCTAACAAAACTAGTCCAAAATTAAGACTTAAAATGCAAATCCGCAAGCCATTTTTAAACCAGGATACTTGAGATTTGGTAAAACCTCATTTCTAACCAAGACACAGTTACTGCAACATTACGCAACTCAAAATTCAAAAAAAAAGCTAAAATCGACCTACCCTAATATATATATATATATATATATATATATATATATATATATATATATATATATATATATATATATATATATATATATATATATATATATACATATATATATATATATACATATATATATATATATATATATATATATATATATATATATATATATATATATATATATATATATATATATATATATATATATATATATATATATATATATATATATATATATATATATATATATATATATATATATATATGTACACCTTCTTGATAAGACTGAATATAACAACTTACTGTTTAAATCATTGAGTTCTTTTTGCAATAGTAAATAATTATGATGATATTTTTTTTTAATTGGCAACTCAAACCAGACAACCATTAGTAGTAGAAAACTATAATAAAAAAACAGTTATATTTAGTAGACATAAAAATATCATATATAAAAATTTTTTTTTATGTTCCTTAAATGTCTTTTATTATCTATTGTTATTACTATTTTTGTTGTTTATTTTGTTGTAATTTCTTTACGTTGGCTAGATATTTTTTTGATTTTTGTTTTTCTTGTAATATACTCTCAAAACCAAAAAACACTGAAACAAATTTTTTAAGTAAATTTACATTTTGGAGAAAAAAAGTTGAATAAAGATGTGGTTTGATCTTTGAACTTCTCACTCAGTATATTAGTGGTTCAACAACTATAAGGAAGGTTTGGCTTTTTTTATCTGTAAAAAAGGCTGAAATTTAGAAGAGATTTTGAGATTAAAAAAATTAGTAACTCTTTAATATTTATTGACAAAAAGATCTCCAAATTAGTCATGAATGTGGTGTATGTATTTATGTGAAAGAGAATATTAGTTCTTATGAAATAAATGTATGCAAATATGATTACAAAATAATGTATTAAATTATGTGCAAATAGAAAATTAGACGAAATAAAAAATTCTTATAAGTATTTGGATGAATTTTCATTAAAATTACTATACAAAACATTAGTACATCAACATTTGGAATATGTGCAACACAGGGCTACAAGAAACAAATTTTTGAGGGGAAAGCCATATAAAGAAGGATATCTTTATATTCGAATTTCTAACTTTGATAGAAGAAGAGGTGATCTAATTCAAATGCGATGTTATGAGATTTAGTTGTGAAAAAGAAAAGCATAAACACATGTTAATATAAATCAACAAAACTTACATATTTATATCGTTAAAAGTTAAATTTCATCATTAGTGCAATTTTTTAAAGTACCTCATTGTAATTATATTTAATTTCAAACCAAGTTTAAAATTTATTAAACAAAAAAGCTATAAAAATATTACTTATGAAAGTTTTTCCATATTATTTATTTCTCAAAACACACTTATACATAACTTAATAATCTTTTGCTTGCTTTCTCACATTTTTTAATAAATATTTAATACAATACTTTAAATAAAGATTATGAACAATATATAGATAGATTCCATCATTTACTAAGCAGATATTCATAAAAATAATTTATGTTCATAAACAGAACTTAAGTCTAAAGAATTTTTTATATTATTTTTATATTTTTTGATATTGAATTATAAAAATAAACTAAACGAAAAATTTTAATTCCATTGTGAAGAGAATTCTCTTAAACAAAAATGCTTTTTCATTTCTAAATTAAAAACTAAAGTATTTTTTGTTGTCTTTGCACATGATGGAGAGACTCTAGAGTTTTTACGTATTAATATGTTAGTTTACAAATACAAAAAAAAAACTATTTAACCAGTAAAAAAAGTTGCAAAAATATTTTACATTCCTTAAAAATAAATATATAATCTTGAAATCATATTTAATTTTAAACTTTTTAACTAAATAACTTTTAATTCAAAATTATGAAAAGTTAAAATTTGAAATTTAAACTTTAAATTTAATGTCGAAAAGTTTAATCTTAACACATTTTATCTTTTTTAACACAGTTTGGAAGTTTTTAAATAAAAAAAAATCAGCTTTTTGTCTTATAAAAAAAAAAAAAAAAAAACGATTCACAAATGCAATGAAAATGTTTTTTGTAACTATTAATTAACACTTATTGTTTTTTAAATAAAAGTCTAAACTATATCAAAAGTTAATTTAAATAATATAATTGATAAGAGTTTTAGTGAAATGGCTTAACTATAGGTAAAATTGCAATTTTGTAAACAAAATGCAAAGAGTGTAACACTTCTTATCAAACCCTGCAATTATTTAAGATTTCAAAAAGGAAAAATATTGCTAATTTTCACCACTATCCAGGAAAATTTGAACAGGAACCTTCTAGGAGAAGTAACAATAGTAGAACACACAGACAGTTTAACAAAACTACTCAACATACTAATCAGAGCATGAAATGATTAAAAATTACTATTTAAAAAAAACTACATTACTTGATAAAAAAAAAGTTTTTTGCAACTTTTTGAAAAAAAATCTTTATACAATTTTAAAATATTAAATTTTTTTTTTCTTAATAGTTTAACTTTACTTTTTGATAATTTAAATAAAATTTCTTCATTTATTAAAAAATCATTAGGAGTAATTTGTAAAAGCGTTTTGTGTAATAAATTTACACAATAAAATGTTTCAAAAGATAAGTTTTTAAAGTAGTTTATTTCAAACACAATTAAAAACGTAACAAAAAGAAATTTTTGCTTCGAGTTTAAAATTTTTGAACTTTATTTTAAATCTTATATATTTTCATTTTATTTTGTAAGAAACTGTTTTCTTTTTTTTTTTTAGTTTTTTTAATATATTTTTTTCTAGCATAATTTTAGCTTAGCATTTCTTTTTTCAGTGTATTTCTGAAATGTTTAAATCATCAGAACATCTAAACAGTCATGGTCAAGCTGTCGACAAAAAATTATTTGCGTGTTCATCAATTTGCGTGTTCAACAATATTGGACACCATTCCTGTCCAAGCCGCTATTGTTGAATTTTTTTTTTTAATACCAAAACAATTTTTATAAAATATTAGAAAAATATAAACTGAATACATAATACTAAAAGAAATCTTTTTATGAACAATTACGTTGCATTACATTACAAAAAACAAAGTTTTAACTAAAAATATATTTTCAAATATAAGTTTTGTCTGATTTCCTTGATTAACTGATTAATAGAAGAAAAAATTTTTGCAACAATTGATAAATTTTAAACTTTCATTTAAAATAAATCATTGACAAAAATTGAAAATTTTGAATGAAAAATAAAAATGTTTGTAGTTAAATACAAAAATTTCAAATAATGATAAAAAAAAAACTTCAATAATCAGAGTTAACAGAGTCAAATAAAAAATAAAAAAAAAAGAAAACGATTGCAAATTTTTTATCTATGCTTATTATAATCATTTTAAAAACTGATGATACTAATACATAACTAATAAAGTTAATGTGTAATACTAAGAGGCTAAGAAAACAATCTTTTTATGAAATACTACTTTTAAAATAATTAATGTAAATAACAAGATTTTTATTAAACATATACATTTTTTCAAAATCCCATTTTATAAAAAAGGTAGAAACGCAAAATTAGTAATTTTTAAATTATCTATAAACCATTCATTCATTTATTGCAATTTGCAGCAAAAATAAACGAGAAAATAATAAAAAAGATTTAAAAAAACAAGTGACTAAGTACAGTTAAAAAAAATATTAAAATAATTTATAATATCATTATATTTGTATATAATATTTGTGAGCAAAGTTAAATTAAAGGTCCGATAGGTGATTCAGGCTTGGTCGGGAAGTGGGAGCGATCGCTTTCAATTACTGACCATGTAAATAATATTTAGTTGCGAAAAGCTGGACCGATTTTTTAGTCGTTTTGAGAACATTTTAAAAAGCAAAAAAAAAAAGCGCATAAGATTAATTGGACCAATGAAAGACAATTACAAAAAAAAAAAAAATTTAGCAAATAAAATATCTTTAAACGCGAAAAAACTTAAAGCTAAATAAATTACATTTAGAACAAATATTTTCGAAACATCGCTTTTTTATAATTTTTTTTATAAAATTAAGCGATGTTTTTTATATAAAGTAACAACTTACGATTGTTTAAAAAAGGAAACAAATGCTCTTTATTTAGCAAAGTTTGCAAGTTTTAGTTTTATTTATGCTAAATTATTTTATAAATAAAAAAGTTAATTTTTTCAATACCTATTTTATGTTTCGCGTAGTTTGAAAAGTTTAACATATTTGAAGCAACTCTTCTTAGTAAGATAAACTACTACATCTACAACTCTTCTTAGTAAGATAAAATGAAATAATTACATCATTGAATTACTATAGAAATTAAATTACCAAGATAGAAATCAACTAAAAAAGTTAAAAATACTTTATGACGAGGAAGCGAAACTGCTTCACAATATCGCTGATGATGTTTAGTGAGTGGGCTTTTTAATTTTAATTAGTATTTAAAACAGAAAAAAGTATAACGAGTTTCAAGAATGGCAACTTAAGCGAAAACAATTAGAGTTAGTAAACCAATATATAGAAACTTTTCTTTATATCTAATTATTTGCTATATATATTTGTGTTCTGTCATGACCTCAGGCGCGGTGCTTGTTCATCCGCGAGATACTTTGTATGCGTTGTTTGTGTTTAGTAACCAGAAACTTCTTATATGTTTGTTACACAATTAGTTTTATTAACTATAATGATTATAACTTCATTGAAAATGCAATTATTTTTGTAAGTCTTTGTTTAAATCATAAAAATTGCTTTAAAAGATGGATTACAATAAAAAACAGATACACAAAATTACATTTACATAAAGATTACATACTTTTTAAATAAAAAATAAGAATATACTAATAAAATCTATAACTTATAATAAACTTTTGAAATTTTGACAATTTAATATATATATAAAATATTTATTTTTGTAAACAAATAATATATATTTTTAAAGCAAGAAAACTAGAAATCTTAAAACATAACAAATCGTGAGTAATACAATTCCTAAAACATTTCAACAGAATACTCTAGAAATTTATTTTGCTAAGTCAGCGTATTTTTTGAACCAATAGAATTAGTTTCTTTGTTAATTTGGTGGGTTTTTAGTGTTCGTGAATATTCTTTTTATTCTTTCGCACAAAGATGTTTTAAGAACATTCAAGTTTATTATGTTTCCATGTATGTCCGTAAAACAAAAATTTTTTGTTTCGTACATAAACTTAAATGTTCTCAAAACGACTAAAAAACCTGGCCAGTTTTTCGCAACTAAATATAATTTCCGTGGTCAGTATTCGAGAGCAATCGCTCCCGCTTCCCAACCAAGCCTGGTGATTAGTAATCTGTAAATGTAAAAAAAATTGATGCAAAATAAAAGCAGTTCACATGTTTAGACAATCTAATATATAATAAGATGGTTCCCTGATTCCATAATG